GCAGTGTGGTGCCTTGCATCAATGACATCACTCCCAGGTAACATCTGGCCATGTGTGACATCATTTAATATTGTCATGAGTGAAGTCCTGGCATCTGGTAAGTGGTGGCCCCAGATGCCACTAAATATCCCACAATTGTATAGACTCTACGTCTATGGCGATGAAATGCCGAATCCAAAATGCCCACAGAGCTCCTGTTCAGAAACTGTGGTCCAAATGAGTTGGTCAAAGAACAGTTTCTTAAGAGGATGTTAATAAAACATTGAAAAAAAAAAACACAACCCTTGAAATTGGTGATTTTATGGAAGCCTGAATTTCAGAGCTTGAATCAACTAACTGTTCATAGGCCAATCCAAAATAACCTTAGAAGTTACCCAGCCCAACTCCTTCATTTCACTGATGAGGAAACAGACACCCAGAAGGAAAGTGATCGATCATAAGACAAGCGAGGACCTAGTCCTTGATTGGTACAACATGCCAAATGGGGGCACGGTGGGGTCAATACAACATGCCAAATGGTGGTGTAGTGTTTTGTTTATGAATTTGTCAACCACAGCAACACTAAAAGATCAATCCTTTACAGTCCCTATTTTGTATGTAGGGCTACTAAATTCCTAGAGGTTTAGGTACCTGCCCAGAGTCCAACAGTTTCTAAATTCCTGCCCTACCCCAACCCCACTCTGGGCTCTGGGACAAAAGACCTGAATCTTTTCATGTTTAGAGACGCCCTAGAAATGTGAATGACTGGGCCCAGTTCTTCCCAGCACCAAGTCAATCACGGCCCTGTCCTGCCTGTCCCCTCTGTCCGTAGTTTTCCCTTGTCTGCATCCTGGTCACAGAGAAAGAAGACATGGAGGGAAGGAATAATCCTAGTCCTTGATCCAAGTGACTCCTTCAGTATCTCCTTTAGTGACCACCAACAAAGACCTGCCCTCCAGTCCCAAAGATATACTCTTTCTCCATGTAAGGCATCTCAGTTAGTGTTCCCATTCTTTAGGATTCTGTGAGTCCCATTATAATGTAGAAGAGAGATAACAGACAAAAAGATAGATAGATAGATGATAGATAGATAGATAGATAGATGATAGATAGATAAATAGACAGACAGATAATGCATATACACACATACATAGATAACAGACTAATGACCAAAGAATAGATACAAGATAGCTCACTTACAGACTGAGAGTTGTATAAAAAGAATATAATGAAAAAGAAATAATAAATAATAAAGAAAAATGACCATGACCAGAGGAAATAGATATGAGAGAGAGAGAGAGAGAGAGAGAGAGAGAGAGAGAGACATCTACACAGAATTTTCCTCATCATGTACAACTAGTAACAAAATCAATAATCATCTTCCATCCCCATGGCATTTCACGAAATAAAGATGACTCCAGTGTCAGAAAGAGAAGGAAAGGCTTACTTTCAAAGTAGTTTAAACTGAATAACTATGGAAGGAAATGAAAACCTATCAACAGTGCTCTGCCTCCCACCCACGCAAGCCAGTGTCAGGGAATCACAAACCCGAGTCCCTCGAATTCAGTGAAAAGTCAGTTCGGGGATGACTGAAGCTCCAAAGTGGAGAATCCAGAACGTTGCCCACACTCCATCACGCTGCTCGCTGCAGCCCCAGCTCTTACAAAGTAAGGCTAAGCTAGTAGCCATGTTGAAGAGCCAAAGAGAAGGTGTGGGGTGCTTCCAGCAAGCCTAGTAATGGTGCCACCTTCTTCTCAGAAGCCAAGAATCATCCCCCTGCCTCCAACTGGCACTTTCGGTACAGGAGTATTTAGCAGTTCAGGGGAACAGGCCCTTCCTGGTCCAGCCTCAGCTCTTTTCCCAGGTACAACTGAGAACCACTGCCCCCTCCCCACAACTTCAGCCTCTCTAACATCAGAGTGTCTACCCTGGTTCTCTCCCTATGAATGGGTACCCAGAGGAATCCTGAGGAAGACCAGACAACCTCCAGGATGCAATAAGCAACCCCCAAGATTTTCCAGGATGTTCTATGTCTCTTCCCTACCCCCATCCCACAGGAGAGAAGATCCACCTTTTAAATGATGGCTTAGCTTATGCAAATGTCCATTCCCAAAGGAAGCCAGTGCCCTGTGCCTATGGTTACGAAAACACCATGGCAGTCTTTGAGAGCAGAGGCCCAGATATTCCCTCTCGGTGGACAGCATCTGAATGTGAATATCTAAATTCTGAGACGATGGTGGTAATTTTTTATGATTTCTGTTTCCTCCTGTCAGTGGGGAGGGGTCTTTAATTGCTTAATCTAGAAAGTGGAAGCTGTAGGCATTGTTCTTTGAGGTGTTAGAAAATAACCCAGCGATCAAGTAGAGACTGAACTGCAATGGGTGAAGGAAGAGAGGTGGGAGGAATCAGGCTGAAGCCAACATTGTAGCAAGACTGAAGAAGGTAAGCACTCTGGCACAGGGACTTGGGAGTCCCCAGCGCCAGACAACTCTCCTTCATCCCAAGCTGCCTTTTGCTCCAGAGCTGCCAACATGGTTTCCCCAAATGCATCCTGTCTTCATCATCTGGTCTGCCACAGGCCCTCCCACCAGCACTGTAACTGGGCTGGGGAAAAGAAATTCATTATGGCTGTGATGACCAGCCCACCTTCCCCAGTGTTCTGACGGCTGCAGGAGACAGTCTCCCAGTCCCTAGCTGGCATGTGTGTGAATACTGAAGCCTCTGAGTTTGTTGCAAGCAGCCTTGGGAGGAACTCATGCCGCACAGGTAGGGTGGACCTGGGTTTGATGTAGTGAACAGGAGAAAGGAGGGGAGGGAGGGAAGAAAGCAGGGGAGGAGTGTGTTCTGAGCTCGCTCATTCTGTCAAAAGTTTACAGAATCTCCTGTGTGTGAAGCACAGATACATCGTGGGGATATGAGGCAAACCTCGGGACCTTCCTAGCCTTCCCTTCCTCTCAAACAAAACCCGCTCACAGTGGAGAAAGCATCTTTCATCAGTCATTCATCTCGCGTTATCTTACTGTAAACAATGGGGCTTTTACACTAGAACCCATTTCCAGTTTGAGAGGCTTCAATCCCACGTTGAAGGAGTGTGAGAACACACCGGTCTGATGGAGCCGTTTCTGGCAAGCTGGCGGGGCTTCTCAGCTCTGATGCTCTTCAGTCACTTGAGAATCTGCACCCCTGAGTGGAGAAGAGATGAGGGAACCTCCAGGGTTTAGAGAGACGTTAGAAGAGGCGATTGTACTGGATTGCTGGCACTTCGGTTATATACAAGTACACCTTCTGTTACCGCGATGAAATAGCTGCAAGCGGCTAGTTTATAGAGGAACAGTGTTTATTTAGCTCAATTTAGAAGGTACAAGGGTCTGAATCGTTAGTGATCCCGTGTGGGCGAAGTCCCAGATCGGCACCGGGAATTGCTCAGGCGTGTCTGGCCTCTCCTCTTTTTCTGAGAAATGCACGGAGACCCAATCACAGATACACCATGCAAACTACCTCTTCTAATGTAGCCACCACCCCAAGGCACCACCATGCACACCACAGTCAGGTTAAGGTGCCACACTCCCAACATTACCAGGGACCCTGGGAATACATTCAGTCTAATCCAAACCGAAGCTCTGCCACAACAGTTTCAATGTGTGTTCAGTGTGTGTGTGTGTGTGTGTGTGTGTGTGTGTGTGTGTGTGTGTATGGGGAGGGTGAGTTTGCAGGATAGAAGATCACGTGACATGCTGCGGAAGCTGAGACTCCTTAGTGAACAAAGCTCATGAAATCTCAGATGCCTGAAGCAGCATTGACCTGCAGGTGAAAACCCGAGCTCTTATAAACTAATTGACTCACCTCTCCACCCAAGCCTCAGTTTTCTAATCTGTAAGATGGGACTAATGATCAGTGTGTGGAGTTATGGTGTTGCTTCAGCCTGATAAGAAGAGTTAAAAAGACACACACACACACACACACACACACACACAAGGATAGATCATTGTCATCCCAACAAGCAATCAACAGCACTTACCAAACACCCAGAATATGCTGGACATCCGCCCAGTGAAGTCCACACCTGCTCTCCTTTAACCCTTTGGAAACCCCTGTGAGGGAGCTAATATTATTACCCTCATTTTGTAGATAAGAAAACAGAAACACAGAGAGGTCAATAACTCACTTGAGGTCACACAGCTAGAGAAAGGCTGGATTTGAAAATGACACACCATTCAATAAACTATGGTTTGTGTTTGTTTATTCTTAAATGTTGCTGTTCCCTGGTTTAAATAGGAAGGGTAATTATTAGAATGACAAGTTATTAGCCCCGTGTGGTGACACTTGCCCTCAACCTCAGCAATTAGGGCGTCGAGGCAGGAGGATTGCAAATTCACAGTGTGAACCTATATCACACGATGAGTCTCTGTCTTAGAAAACAGAGCAAGAAAAAAAATTACTGTCCTGTATCCTGCGGGATATGAACGAGGGTCCCTGATAAACCTAGAGGAGGAAGAGGAATGGAGGGGACAAGAGACACGAGAAGACAACAGCAAGGCAGGATTTCTGATCAAGCCGGGCTTTATTAATTCTCAGAAGCTGTTATATAGCAAACGGGCAAGGGGGAGGGGAGGATGTCAGGTCTGCTGGAATTCAGGTCTGGAGATATCCCTAGCTGGTAAGGAAATACTGAGGGTCTGTGACTGTTCACTAACAAAGGAAATGCTAATTGTTTCTGAAGCCTGGGGTCTGCAGGTCTCACTAGGCTAATGTCCTAGGTCCGGAACTTGCCCTGCAAAGGTGAATATCTTAATTGTGAATTTAAGATGGCTGTAAACAAAATGCAGATCTCAAAATACAGGTCTTTGCTTCCGGCAGTCCTGTATCACTTCTTTGAGTTTATGTGTGAGAACTATAAGTGTATATGTCATATTCCCTCCACTGAAAGCCAAACTGGAGAGGGACACTGAGTACCGCGTACAGGAAGGACAGGAATGGGTCACCTTGGCTTCACCATCCTTTCTAACTGTCATTAATACTAGGTGCCTGGTCTTGAACAGCCATGACGATGGAGGTGCTCCCCAAGGCCCTGGAAGTAGACGAGAAGTCTCCGGAGTCCAAGGACCTCCTGCCCAGCCAGACAGCCAGCTCCCTGTGCATCAGCTCCAGAAGCGAGTCTGTCTGGACCACCACCCCCAGGAGCAACTGGGAAATCTACCACAAGCCCATCATCATCATGTCAGTGGGCGCTGCCATTCTGCTCTTTGGTGTGGCCATCACCTGCGTGGCCTACATCTTGAACGAGAAGCAAACGGTTGTGCCAGTCCTCAAGATGATAGGGCCTGCCTTCCTGTCCTTGGGACTCATGATGCTGGTGTGTGGGCTGGTGTGGGTGCCCATCATCAAAAAGAAGCAGAAACAAAGGCAGAAGTCCAGCTTCTTCCAAAGCCTCAAGTTCCTCCTTCTGAACCGCTGAAGGCAATCTGACCAGAAGATCTGCTGACCAGCCTGCTAACCTTCTCTGTGGGGTACCACCAAGCTGATTCAGGCAAACCCTCCTGGGACAGAGCTCAGGCCTTCACCCTCACACAATCTCGCAGTATTGCTGGCTGCGTTTCACCTGGTTTCTCCATCGCTGCTGATGCTCCCTTGGATAGTCTCAATATTCGCATCCCTGGCACCTGCCTTTAGCCATCATTCATCCCACTTTCTCTGCCAAGGGCAGTGCATGCTGGGAAATTCTTTGGGGGTTGACTATGCTCCCAAGAAGAACTTCTTGTTGTAATTGCGTGTCTGAGCTGGATTCCACATCTGCATCCTTCTGGAACTAAAACTGATCAAGGATGGAAGGGTAACCTCAGACTCACTGGGTTTGACAGTCTTGATGCCCTCCTTGGGTGAGACATTGGCTAGCATTACAAGAGACAGGATAATTCTCATGTACCAAACATTCCAAAATCTGAACAGTGATGGGGGCTGTAGATGGGGAACACGGTCCAGGGCAGATCATTCCTCTGGGCATAGCTCTAAAAGTCAGCTAGCCAAGGAAGTTCATTCCTGAATCCATAGTATTGACACCAGCGGCAATAGCACAGGCTAAGCGGTGTCTGTTTCCCCTTGACCCTCCAATGCCCTTCTCACGGACTGCCTTCATCTTGGCAATTAGCCAAGAACAAATGCTCCTTGTTCTAACTCCTTTGCCCCACCCCATCTCTGTCTCTATGCATTGCCAGAACAGAAGGAAGGAAGGGTCACAGGTGGGACCTTCCCCTTCCTCTGAATCATGACCCATCCTGAGATGGGACACCATGTCTGAGTGTTCTATGGAATTCCAGAGATAGATTCACCAAAGAGGACCCCAACCTCTATCACCCCTGCTCCTCCCCACAAGCAAGGGAGTATTTATTGAGTTTCCTTCTCTGGGCCTAGGTTGGGAACAGCCAGACCCAGTTCCTGATCTCCTCTTCTTTCTAAAAGTGAGAGAGAGGCGGACATAGTCAAGCCAGTTGGCACCACCCCATGCAGAGCTCTTAGGGTGGCTATAGGAACACATGGGTCCAACATAAATTTAAAGGAAGGCAGAGAGGTTTCTGGAGACCATACTGGTCCCTCCTAAAGACAAAGGGAAAATAAGTGTTGGGAAAGTCTAAGGTGCATAAGGAAGGAGCAACTTTTACCTTGCATGTGAAGAGGCTGGGCAAAGAGGCCTCATGGAGTTAGGATTCTGCATAGCTCCTGGATGCTGTTTCATCCCCTCTTGTCTATGTCCCTCCTGCTTTCCCAAGTGCCTTACATCCAGCTTCCCCTTGGGACACTGCAAGCTGCTGGGGTCTGTAGAGACTGGGAGAGGCATCTCCAGGGGAACCCACCAAGTAGATCTAGCCCAAGAGGTAAGTGCCCTCAAAACTTCTTATAGACACCAAGAAGACATTAGGTGAAAAACCAGGTGCCCATAATAGATCCCCCAAGCTGTGCCAGGCCAGACCAGAGACTAGGGGAAAGAACCTGATAACAGGGTGAGTGAAAAGACCTGCATTCGTTCCAGTTGACTCCCTTCATCCCTAAACCTTCAGGCACTTGGGATCACCACGGCAACCTTCCACCAATGTCTCAGACTTTCACAGAACTTTCATAGGCAGAGTCAGAATTCATGTTTGTTCCTGTTGCGTTCTAGGGAAATCCATGGAGGCAGTATTTTTCTCATGCTCGCTCTCTCTTTCTCTTTCTCTCTCTCTCTCTCTCTCTCTCTCTCTCTTTCTCCCTCTCTCTCTCTCTTTCTCTCTCTCTCTCTCTCTCTCTCTCTCTCTCTCTCTCTCTCTCTCTCACACACACACACACACACACATTTAATTTAGTTAAATTATTAACTAAAGAGTCAGAATTTGGGGAGCCTCTGGCCTTTCAAAGCTCACTTAAGATAGCCATGTCCTTCATTAAGACTCATACCAGTGAGCCCAGGTCCTCCAGTACACCCATCCCCAGCATGCAGGCAGGTCAGGACCAAATCTGGGGTTATTTCAATGCTGTCACTAATTTGAGTGTTAGTGCCTCTGAAACAGGGCTGACATGGAAGGTCAGCCCTCTGAGGAGGCCTCTCATTCCCTGGTGCTTTCATGAAAGGGAGCACGCAGATGAGCACCCAGCCAGCTCACTTGGAGTCCAAACCCCACGCACCTCATTCTCCCCAGAGCTCATTGTCTGTGCACAGCTCTGGGAGGAGGGTCTTTGCAAACATCTCTATCATGTATGCCTCAATGGAAGGGAGTTCTGGGCTAATCCTGGTGCCAGGAAATCTTCAAGCTGTAGATCTCTTCTGCAGCCACGTTGGTATCTGCCCATACCTCTGGCCCCGCAAGCTAAGTCTGTCTTCAGTAGACAGAAACAAAAATCCCAAATATTGGTTAGCTCCCCCTACTGGGCTCCCTGCACCAACAAGGGCTAGGAAATGGGCTGAATCACGACAAAAGCAGCACATCTTGGAACTTTTTGCCAAAGACCATTGCCTCGTGAAAGCCTGAGGTGGGGACAATCTGTGAGTGAAGCCAGGCTGGATGCCACATTTCTGAACCAAAGCATCCCGGGCAATGACTTCAGTCCTCTCACTGGTCTGAGGGCAGGGCCAGCATCCGCAGCACCATCTCACCAGAATGTATTACCTGCTCCTCCTGTAGCTCTTCTGTTTTGGAGAATTTAATCTAATCTGAAGCCTAAAGGAATTACTGTCATGTCGAATTGTATTCTATTTAACAGTGTCTGCCGTGTTTATCCTGTTTCGCCAGGTATTTGAAGACAGTACCCACACACCCCTCCTCCTCTAAAATGCCCCCCCCATTGCCATATTTCCTCTCCCAAGAAGGATGCCAGGGAGAAAAGAGACAGAGTGGCTCTCGTGCATGCGTCCTCGGGTGCCTCTCTGCAACTGGTGGCTCTCCTCTGAGGTGATGGTGGTGCAGAGGACCCCACAAGCCCAGTATTGAGACCCAAAACTTGACCTGAGAAGATTACATTCTAGAGTGAATTTGTGGTCTAGACAAGGTAGGCGGATACCAGGTCTTGGAGAGATGCTCCAAACACAAAGCAAAGTGGAAAAGGATCCACTGGGGGCTTGTTTTCATCTCCCACCCCAGAGGCCTGTCTGTGCTTAGCCTGTGTGGGGACAGTTGTTCATGCCTCAGACTTTCTCCCAAGACTCACAGGCAGCCTCAGAGAATCTGCTGGCCCAAGCAGGAACTGTCCCTCTGTAACTAGGTTCCTTAGGTCTCCAGCAAGGAACCTCGTGTCTGAGGGACTATGCTCAGTTCTTCTGCAACATGCAGGTACATATAAGAGGGACAGACCCCCAGGCCGCCTCACAGTCCCTATCTTCCACTCTAAGGGAAAGACAGGTTCACTAAAGGATACCCCAGAATGAGACCATCTCGCACTGTCCTGTGGGTTCCTCTGTAAAAGCCACTGAAATGACTGAAAAAAAAGAAGGGAGAATCACTATCAACGGTCCTTATCGATCATGTTCTAAGTTGGGATTGTCTTCAATAAATGACAGAATGCCAATGGGAACTGTGCTCTTTCCTGGGATGCGTGGGAAGCGTTTCTAACCACAGCCACATCACGCACTCCTCGGGCTCTGGTCCTCCTTTCCTCTGCTTCTTTCTTCACTCATCATTTCTAACTGACATTCCGATTGCCCAATTACCCAAGCCCACAGCAAACATCAGAACCTGGATGACATAATGAAGACAGAAGCTCTGACATTCAGAAATCAATCCGGCTAATTTCCAGAGATGAGAGACAAGGGAATCTTCAGGTGTAATGCAGTATGATCACGGTGGGGGGAATCTTCAGGTGTGATGCAGTATGATCACGGTGGGGGAAACTTCACGTGTGATGCAGTATGATCATGGTGGGGGGGAATCTTCAGGTGTGATGCAGTATGATCACGGTGGGGGAATCTTCACGTGTGATGCAGTATGATCACGGTGGGGGAATCTTCACGTGTGATACAGTATGATCACAGTGGGGGGAATCTTCAGGTGTGATACAGTATGATCACAGTGGGAGGAATCTTCAGGTGTGATGCAGTATGATCACGGTAGGGGAATCTTCAGGTGTGATACAGTATGATCACAGTGGGGGGAATCTTCAGGTGTGATACAGTATGATCACAGTGGGGGGAATCTTCAGGTGTGATACAGTATGATCACAGTGGGGGAATCTTCTAATGTGATGCAGTATGATCACGGTGGGGGAATCTTCAGGTGTGATGCAGTATGATCACGGTGGGGGAATCTTCAGGTGTGATACAGTATGATCACGGTGGGGGAATCTTCTAATGTAATGCAGTATGATCACGGTGGGGGAATTACAGATGCTCAGATGATGGTACTCATCAGAGTGCCTGCCTCTCCAGGCCTCTGGAATATATATGACAAGTTTTCACATCAGATTCAGAGGGAGGAGGCCCAGGCAAGAGAAAAGAGTGCTCATTGGCTAATAGGAGAAGATAAACTCCACTTTGACCTCTGGGCCTTCTCTATTTTGCAGACTTGTTCTGAAACCCATTCATCCCAGCATTCGAATTGTGGCAGGTGCATGATGGTGAAATATACTTGGGTCTACGAGATAAAGGGCTCCCCATGCTTCTGCTTGTCTACACTGCCCAGAGATCCCATCTTCAACACATAACACTGTAGTTCTACCTTTTTTTGGAACTTACCCTTCCTTAATCCCCACCTTTTTCTTGCTCTAAACAGTTCTCTAGGGATAGAGAGATGGCTCCATAGTTAAGAGCACCGGTTGCTCTTCAAAAGTCCAATCCCCAGTACCCACCTGGGGACTCACAACCATCTATAACTCTAGTTCCAGGGGGATCCAATGCTCTCTTCCAGCCTCTGTGGGCACTGTGAGCTGACACACATGCAGGTAAGACACCCATACAAATAAATTAAAAATAAATAAGACTTAAAAAATTAAGCAGTACTCTGAAAACCATTTTCATGACAATGGTTTTATTCTGACTCTGTGAAAGGGTGCTTCCCCAAGCAGTCCCCACGCATCCATTAGAAATTGGATTTCTAATGTGTTTAAATGTATTATCTTACAGCCCTGGAGGTCAGAAGTTCAAAACCCATCTCAGAGGGCTACAGCAAAGCATTGTCAGGACC